TCAAATCACGCTGACAGTCTCGACGTGCTTAAATATGAACCAGCGTCGGTGGGCACTGACACATCGTTCTTCGTTTCCGCGGCCTTGTGCCAAGGCTGCGCGCGAACCGAGGGGCGCGAACGGCCAGGACTGGATGATAGGCCTGTTTCCATCCACCACCACCATAAGTTGGAGGGGGAGGGGGTCCTCCTCCTCCTCCTCCTCCTCCTCCTCCCATCTAACTTAGGGTGGTGGTGGTGGTGGAAAAACGGGCCCATCACTGGATGTGGGCCCGCTCCAGGAGAGCCCTCCAGTCGAGCGGCGGCATGTTCGCTTCACCCTGAGCCCCAGTCCTCCTTCCCTCCTCGTGCCTTTCGGCCACATGTGAACCCTACCCACACCCCCAACGACTTCTAAGGAGGGGCGGGGAATCACTCCGCTCGGGAGCTCCCGAACGAAGTGACCCCCCACCCACCCCTTAGAATGGTACCGGAGAAGAACCCCAATCAGATCTTTTAAGGCTATTAGGGCTATAGGGATATAAGGATATAGGGCTATTAGGGCTATATGGATATAAGGCTATAGGGATATAAGGCTATTAGGGCTATAGGGATATAAGGCTATAGGGCTACAAGGCTACAGGGCTATAGGGCTACTGGGCTATTGGGCTATCTGGGCACCCGGGCCCGGCCACCGAAATCGGCGACCAACCTCACCTAAGCCTTCAATCCGCTAGGACCCCTACAGAGGCAAGCTCTGATTGGAGAAATAGTGGGGGGTGGGGGTAGGGCTCACATGCTGCTACCGAACCTTTCAACAACAATTGCATAAACAGAAACTGTCGGAGCTGCGCGCGGATTTGTTCGATCTGCGCTGGTTCCCCCTCCCTGGAACGCGGAGCGTGTCAGGGGCGGCGCCGAAGGCGCCGCCAAAGGGGGGGGGCCACGCCGAGCCAAGACATCCGAGAGGAGCTCCGAAAGCTTATGTGTATGCAGTTGTCTGTTCTTGCTCGAACCTGCCTGGCACGGTCAAGTGTCCTGTACTCCGCCTGGAGGTGGTGACTAATCGCCTGGGCGCCCTTCATGCTGATGATCCCTTCGTCCTGTCGAAGCATCCGTCAGAGGCTGAGGCATCGGAGCACCAAGACGGGAGGCGAGCAGATCAACGTGCGGAGATGCGGGCGGAACACGAGGGCTGCAAGAGATCATTTTGTATCCCCTGCGGATAACGTGCGTTAGCCACGCGAGAAGGGGGGAAGATCACGATTCGCGCTGGAACCGTCTGGGGATGCGTAAGAATGCCTTGGAATCCCAAGCATTCCCAGACGGCGCCGGCGCCACGGGCGCTATCCCGAATAAGAAAAGGCCCCAACGACTTACAGAGAGAACTGATGAGGCTGAGACTGGAGGACCCACAGAATATGCACGCGCGCGGGGGAGTAATGGTTCAACGTGTGCGGCGTTCGGTTGAGACAGGGTTCGGGCCCATCTCGGGGCCCGAACCTTGCCGAAATCAGCGCGTTCCTCAATATCGCCGACCACCGCATCCACAATACGATGGATATTGGCAAGAATTTCCAACAACGGACACGAGTTTACCCCGCCCCGTGGCAGAAACGAGCAAGGAAGAGAATGGGGATTGCGGGTGAAGGGATGGGACTGCGGAACATCGGCCGCCCGGAATTGCTGCGGAACAAAGCGTGTACCATGCTAAGCAGATGCTGTTGTCCAAAACCGACAGCGGCCGCTGCTGGGCAGGAGGCCTTCAGTCTCAAATGGGAAGCGTCCTTGGCGACACTGACAGCGCTCCCGGTCCCAAATGGACAGGATCTGCTGCAGACCTTTGCACGCATTCCTTCCGCACCCCGTACGGCAGGTTCGAGTCGCGTCGACCCCGGCGTTGGTTCCCGACATCGCGGGGATCGTTCAACCTTGAACGACCGGCCGTTCCCGAAACGTCAGGATCGTTCAACATCGCCCGGTTCTGGGTCGCGCCGGCGACGAACACCCGCGGCGGGGTCGCCGCGGGAGGAGGAGGAGGAGGAGGAGGAGGAGGAGGAGGCGGAGGCGGAGGCGGAGGCGGAGGCGGAAGAGGAGGAGGAGGAGGAGGAGGATGAGGAGGCGGTGGAGGAAGAAGAACAAGAAAAACACCCGCGGCGGGGTCGCCGCGGGTCGACACGACGCGAACCGACCGCACCCGCTCCGATCGCACCGAAGACGGTGCGGGCTGGATGGTGGCCTCTTGGCGGGGGGAGAGGCCAGCGGCACCGGCAGAGATGCACTCGGAGCCGCTGCCCGAGCGGGCCGCGCGGCGCCCAGTCCACGGCGCGCTCCCGCGCGGCCGCCAGCGGCTGCCCGCGGAGCGCTGTGGCCAGCCAGCGCGGATGACGAGGATGACGAGGAGGAGGGAGGAGGAGGAGGAGGAGGAGGAGGAGGAGGAGGAGGACGAGGAGGAGGACGAGGAGGAGGAGGAGGAGGAGGAGGAGAGGAGGAGGAGGAGGAGGAGGAGGAGGAGGAGGAGGAGCCGGTGCCCCGGCGAGGCCTCTGCAGGGCGGCGGGCCCGAGAGCGGCGCGGCGCGGCGCGGCTTGCTGGTCGCACGTGCGCTCTCCGGCCCCGCGCCGCGCCGCCCCGGGCCGCGCCGCCGGCGGTGGGAGGGGCGGCCCGTGGCACGGATCGCAGGGCTCGGCGCCTCGCGTCTTCCCCTGTGCAGTGGCTGTCGGCGGCTCGTGTTCCTCGGGGCCTCCACCAAGTACGATGCCACTGGAGCCTGAGGGTTGAATCCCACACCGCCTCTGCGGCGTGGGGTCGAGATAGGGCGGAGGTAGAAGGCGGTCCTCCGAGAGGCGTCGGGGGGCGGCCAAGAGGAGGCAGGCGGCTTCCAAGGTAAGGGGTAACAATATAAACAGCAGGTGTCGCAGGACAGGCAGGACAGGGATAGGTATACAGGACAGACAGGGCAAGATAGACAAAGGGCAAGGATGGGTATAACAGGACAGGCAGCACTAAAGATCAACGCTCCGAGGTCCGCGCGGATTTCTTGGATCGGCATGGGATCCCCCTGGCGGCGCCTCCAGCGCCGCTCCTGACACGCTTATTTGTGTAGTGATGCTTGGGCAGAGTCTGCGCGGAACCTCCGAACAGTAATGCTTCTGCAGATTGTTTCCCGAAAGTGGTTCACCCACGTACTTCGCCACGGTCGCCCACCTCGCTCTGGCCTGGCGCGCCTGGCTGCTGCGGCCCGCCGGCTGCTCATCGTCGAACTCTTCGGCGCCTGAGCGTCCCTCCTTCCTCGTTGGTCTCCCCCCTCCCTTCTTGCACGCCGGCCAACTCGCTAGTCAGTGCCCCTGCCTAGCTGTTACGCTGGTGCGGATCTCGCCGCTTCGCCGCTCACGAACACATGCTTTCCGACAGTGGGCAGGAGGGCTCCTGAGAAGCACCCTAGCCTTCTGAGAAGGCCCACCCCTCCCTCGTACTGCCCCCACCTGCGCGCCGTGGAACCTCCGGCTCAATCCGCACCCCGAGACAAGCGAACACCCCGCCCGCTCCGTGAACCACACCCGAACCAGAGCGGGTTCGGCCGATGCCCATTTCCATGCCGGTCGTACACGGAGAGAAAGCGCCAGAAACACAAACTTTTGGCGCTCCGCGTAGACTTCTTGGATCCCCGCCGAACCCCCCTCCCTGGCACGCGGAGCGCGCCAGAGGCGGCGCCAGAGGCGCCGCCGGGGGGGCCCAGCGCGGATCCAAGAAATCCGCGCGGATCGCCAAAAGCTTTTTTTTTTTTTCTTCTTCGAGATACCCATTTCCATGTCGGTCGGCGGTCCTCCATCTCGTGGACCTTGTGCAGATGGTGGTGGATGATCTGGCCTGAGCGGAGAAGATGTCTTGCTCTGCTCTCTCTGCTCTTTGCTTGGGGCCCGGGACGCACTGGTGGGTGCTAGGTCGGGCATGTCCCCCGACAGGCGGATTTTGGACGAAAAATAGAAATCCTCAGACATGCTAAAACAATCGTCTCCATAATATTTTTTGGCTATTTTTGACTACTCCTCCTGTAGGGGGACGGGCCCGACTTAACACTGGTGCGCTGGCCCAAGTCCCAAGCTGTCTCTGAAGCCCCCTCCCGTCCCTGGAGGCGCGGTGGGCTACAGCGTGCACTGGCGGGGCACGCTGCCCACCGCACCCACCTCCAGGCGGAGCGCGGCTGAAGCGTGGACCAACAGGGGGTCTGTCGACCCCTCTCCCAAGCTTTTGGAGGTTTTCGAATGGAAGAAAACCATTTGGGGCCCAGCCCTGGGATAGACGATAACGGGGGCGTACATCCTCGACAGGGGGTGCGTCCGAATAGCCCCCTTGGGATGCATCCCAAAGTTTCCTCCTTTTTCTGAGCGGCCAAACTTTTCGGGCAAAACCCGGGGATTGGGGGACAAAAACTGCCTGCGATGGACCTCCCCATCACGTTCTGAAGCGTGGCCTTCCCTGAAACACAGCCTGCACCGCACGTGCTGAGACGTGGCTCTCTCCTGCGCAGCCCGTGGCCGGGAAGCATCCGGGAGGAGGGAGGGGCGCCCGGTCGGAGCCAGCGAGCTCAATGATACAACAGCGCAGATCCGCTAGAGTGGAGACAGTTCAGTCCACTGCACTGGAAGCATGACATGGCCAATAGTTAATCGGGATCAAACAGCCAGTCTAGGTCCGACGAATCGTGGCGCTGAGCGTTGGACAGCTGATAGAAACATGTCAAAGCCAAATCGACCCTCGTATCTGGGAACCTCTCCAGAAACTTACTCTTCTTTCAACTCAGCGAATCCATGGTTACGACTTCGACGCCATTGCCTCCTTAACCCCATACCTAGCAGAAGTCGCATGACTAGGCACAGAAGAGAAATACACATTGGGATGGGGAGGGGGCGGAAGGGAGGAAAGGAGAGAGGCAGCGGCAGATGAAGGGAAAATGAGAGCTGGTGTGGGCGACGATTGTCTCTCGATGGGCTGGCTGTATGGTAACGGCGCAACCGCACCGCCTACGAACATCTTACTCTTCACCATGTTCTGTATGTGCACCTTCCCTGCCACTGCTCCTGATGTCAAGCTGCTCCCAGCGACGTGTCAGCCCAGAGAGGTCATCGGACGACGGACCTACTGACGTTGAAAACACACGTATTGTCAACGAAGCCTGGCATCTACAAAAGTTGGGGGTGAAGACAGACGCACGTATGTTCATACTCCCAAAAGCATGCGAATCAGCTCGTTTCTGCGATGCCATTAGTTTCACTGCCAGAGGCAACACACAACATGGCATAAACTCCCTGAGCCTACAGCGCAGACACAGGGTGCCTCGCGTCATGCTGCCGAGGGCGTCATGCTCGATTCCACGTGTGCGCACATGCGGGCACCATGACATACGCACACGCCGAGCCACACGAGCACACCATCACTAGTAATCACGTGTGGGCTTGCTTGCAAGCGATGCCATCTGCACATCGGTCGATAGCAACGTTCAAACCAGACTGTACACAGGATGCGCCAGTGACGACCTGCATTGTATGTACACCCGACAATTGGCAAGAAGCGATGCAGATGCACAGCGCAGGATACTCACCACGAGACTGCTGAGGCCACATGTAATTCAACAAACACGAAAGGTCGCCCTAGCATGTATCAGCATGGCAAATGAAGGATCGTGCTCGTGACAAGTATGCCACTCAAATGAGTGGCAAAGGACAAACTGTGATCCCCCGGCAGAATGGAGTGAATAATCGCTCCCACGAGGGCAAGACACGATCAACTTTGCCTACAGGGCAGTTTTTAATACATAGGATTTTTAGATTATCTTGGCGAAGGACCCAACCATATGCAGTTGTGGGTACCACAATTTTGAAAATCTCCTTCGGTGAAACTCCCTATGGGGCCACGAAGCGCTGCACTGGGTGGGGGGGAACGCTGTTCTGGGTGAGTGGTGTGTCAAATTCGGTTTCCGGGATGCATGCGGACGGTCCCACTGGGGGCTTCGGTGGAGCTCCCTATAGGGCCACGAAGCGCTGTACTGGGCAAATGGAAATGCCAAATTGGGCTTCCGGGACGCATGCGGACGGTCCCACTGAAAGCTTCGGTGGAACTCCCTGTGGGGCCACGAAGCGCTGTACTGGGTGGGTGAAAATGCCCAATTGGGCTTCCGGGACGCATTCGGACGGTCCCACCGGGGGGCTTCGGTGGAACTCCCTGTGGGGCCACGAAACGCTGTATTGGGTGGGCTGCCACGTTGGGTTTTCGGGGCGCATGTGGACGGTGGCACTGGGGCCTTCGGTGGAGCTCCCTATGGGGCCATGAAATTCTGGACTGGGTGGGTGGAAATGCCACAATGGGTGTTTCGGGACGCTTGCGGACGGTCCCACTGGGGTCGTCGGTGGAGCTCCCTGTGGGGCCACGAAGCGCTGCACTGGGTGGGTGAAAATGACACATTGGGTGTACGGGACGCATGCGGACGGTGGCACTGGGGCCTTCGGTGGAGCTCCCTGTGGGGCCACGCAACACTGTAGTAGGTGGGTGAAAATGCCAAACTGGGTGTTTCAGGGCGCGCTCGGACGGTCCAACTGGGGGATTCGGTGGAGCTCCCTATGTGGCCACGAAACGCTGTACTGAGTGGGGGGGACGCATGTGGACGGTAGCACTGTGGCCTTCGGTGGGGCTCCCTATGGGGCCACGAAGCGCTGTGTTGAGTGGGGGGGACGCATGTGGACGGTGGCAGTGGGGCCGTCGGTGGAGCTCCCTATGGGGCCACGAAGCGCTGTACTGAGTGGGAAAACGCATTTGGACGGTGGCACTGGGAACTTCGGTGGAGCTCCCTGTGGGGCCACGAAGCGCTGTACTGAGTGGGGGGGACGCATGTGGACGGTGGCACTCGGGCCTTCGGTGGAGCTCCCTATGGGGCCACGAAGCGCTGTACTGAGTGGGTGGACGGTGGCACTGGGGCCGTCGGTGGAGCTCCCTATGGGGCCACGAAGCGCTGTACTGAGTGGGGGGGGCGCATGTGGACGGTGGCACTGGGGCCTTCGGTGGAGCTCCCTATGGGGCCACGAAACGCTGTACTGAGTGGGGGGACGCATGTGGACGGTGGCACTGGGGCCTTCGGTGGAGCTCCCTATGGGGCCACGAAGCGCTGTACTGAGTGGGGGGGACGCATGTGGACGGTGGCACTGGGGCCTTCGGTGGAGCTCCCTATGGGGCCACGAAGCGCTGTACTGAGTGGGGGGGACGCATGTGGACGGTGGCACTGGGGCCTTCGGTGGAGCTCCCTATGGGGCCACGAAGCGCTGTACTGAGTGGGGGGGACGCATGTGGACGGTGGCACTGGGGCCTTCGGACGGTGGCTCGGTGGGGCCTTCGGTGGAGCTCCCTATGGGGCCACGAAGCGCTGTACTGAGTGGGGGGGACGCATGTGGACGGTGGCACTGGGGCCTTCGGTGGAGCTCCCTATGGGGCCACGAAGCGCTGTACTGAGTGGGGGGGGTCGCATGTGGACGGTGGCTTCGGGGCCTTCGGTGGAGCTCCCTGTGGGGCCACGAAACGCTGTACTGAGTGGGACGCATGTGGACGGTGGCACTGGGGCCTTCGGTGGAGCTCCCTATGGGGCCACGAAGCGCTGTACTGAGTGGGAGGGACGCATGTGGACGGTGGCACTGGGGCCTTCGGTGGAGCTCCGAGGAGGAGGAGGAGGAGGAGGAGGAGGAGGCGGAGGAGGAGGAGGAGGAGGAGGAGGAGGAGGCGGAGGAGGAGGAGGAGAACGCGGGGACCGTCTCTTCAAAACGAAGACCCAACAACACAGGTTGGTTGGGAAGCTATAAGATTTTTCATACACGATTGATGTCTGGATAAAGTTATGCATGAACTCATCGTTGCTTTTAATACTAAACCCTGCATTTCTAATACATGATCCGCACGCGGAGCATGTATTAATTATCCGGACGAATGACCCAACCATATGCAGTTGCGGGTGCCGCAATTGTGAAACATTTTCGGTGAAACTCCCTATGGGGCCACGAAGCGCTGCACTCTGTGGGGGGGAACGCTGTTCTGGGTGAGTGGTGTATCAAGTAAGGTTTCCGGGACGCATGCGGACGGTCCCACTGGGGGCTTCGGTGGAAGTCCCTGTGGGGCCACGAAACGCTGTACTGGGTAAGTGAAAATGCCAAATTAGGTTTCCGGGACGCATGCGGACGGTCCCACTGGAGGCTTCGGTGGAACTCCCTCTGGGGCCACGAAACGCTGTACTGGGTGGGTGAAAATGCCCAATTGGGCTTCTGGGACGCATGCGGACGGTCCCACTGGGGGCTTCGCTGGAGCTCACGAAAGGGCCCCGAAACGCTGTGTTGGGTGGTTAAAAATGCCACGTTGGGTTTTCGGGACGCATGCGGACGGTGGAGTTCCATACGGGGCCACGAAGCTCTGGACTGGGTGGGTGAAAATGCCACAATGGGTGTTTCGGGACGCTTGCGGACGGTCCCACGGGGGCCTTCGGTGGAGCTCCCTGTGGGGCCACGAAACGCTGCACTTGGTGGGTGAAAATGCCACATTGGGTGTGCGGGACGCATGCGGACGGTGGCACTGGGGCCTTCGGTGGAGCTCCCTGTGGGGCCACGAAACGCTGTAATGGGTGGGTGAAAATGCCAAATTGGGTGTTTCAGGACGCACTCGGGCTGTCCCACTGGGGGCTTCGGTGGAGCTCCCTATGTGGCCACGCAGCGCTGTACTGAGTGGGGGGGACGCATGTGGACGGTAGCACTGTGACCTTCGGTGGGGCTCCTTATGGGGCCTCGAAGCGCTGTACTGAGTGGGGGGGACGCATGTGGACGGTGGCACTGGGGCCGTCGGTGGAGATCCCTATGGGGCCACGAAGCGCTGTACTGAGTGGGGGGACGCATGTGGACGGTGGCTCTGGGGCCTTCGGTGGAGCTCCCTATGGGGCCACGAAGCGCTGTACTGAGTGGGGGGGACGCATGTGGACGGTGGCACTGGGGCCTTCGGTGGAGCTCCCTATGGGGCCACGAAGCGCTTTACTGAGTGGAGGGGACGCATGGGGACGGTGGCACTGGGGCCTTCGGTGGAGCTCCCTATGGGGCCACGAAGCGCTGTACTGAGTGGGGGGGACGCATGTGGACGTGGCACTGGGGCCTTCGGTGGAGCTCCCTATGGGGCCACGAAACGCTGTACTGAGTGGGGGGACGCATGTGGACGGTGGCACTGGGGCCTTCGGTGGAGCTCCCTATGGGGCCACGAAGCGCTGTACTGAGTGGGGGGGCGCATGTGGACGGTGGCACTGGGGCCTTCGGGACGGTGGCACTGGGGCCTTCGGTGGAGCTCCCTATGGGGCCACGAAACGCTGTACTGAGTGGGGGGGACGCATGTGGACGGTGGCACTGGGCCTTCGATGGAGCTACCCCTACTGGGGGCCATGAGCGGAAGCGCTGTACTGAGCGGGAGGGGACGATGGGACGGTGGCACTGGGGCCTTCGGTGGAGCTCCCCATGGGGCCACGAAGCGCTGTACTGAGTGGGGGGGACGCATGTGGACAATGGCACTGGGGCCTTCGGTGGAGCTCCCTATGGGGCCACGAACCGCTGTACTGAGTGGGGGGGGACGCATGTGGACGGTGGCACTGGGGCCTTCGGTGGAGCTCCCTATGAGGCTACGAAGCGCTGTACTGGGTGGGTGGAACGCAGGGAAGAGGGGGAGGAGGGAGGAGGAAGGAGGAGGGAGGAGGGTGGGAGGAGTAGGGAGGAGGGGGAGGAGGGAGGGGAGGAGGATCAGGGAGGAGGGAGCAGAGAGGGGGAGGAGGGAGGAGGGAGGGAGGGAGGAGGGAGGAGAGGAGGAGAGGAGGAGAAGGGAGGAAGGAGGAGGAGGAGGAGGAAGGAGGAGGGATAGGAGAGGGAGAGAGGAGATAGGAGGAGGAGGAGGATGAGGAGGAGGAGGAGGAGGGGAGGAGGAGGAGGAGGAGGAGGAGAGGAGGAAGGAGGAGAGGAGGAGGAGGAGGAGGAGGAGGAGGAGGAAGAGAGGAGGAGGAGGAGGAGTAGAGGAGGAGGAGGAGGAGGAGGGAGGAGGAGGAGGAGGAGAGAGGAGGAGGAGGGAGGAAGAGGAGAGGAGGAGGAGGACGGAGGACGGAGGAGAGGAGGAGAGGAGGAGGAGGAGGAGGAGGAGGAGGAGGAGAGGAGAGGAGGGAGAGGGGAGGGGGGGGAGGGGAGGGGAGGGGAGGGAGGGGCGGAGGGGAGGGGAGGAGGGAGGAGAGGAGGAGGGAGGAGGGGAGGAGGAGGAGGAGGAGGAGGAGGAGGAGGAGTTGAGGAGGAGGAGGAGAGAGGAGGAGGAGAGGAGGTGAGGAGGAGGAGGAGGAGGAGGAGGAGGAGGAGGAGGAGGAGGAGGAGGAGGAGGAGGAGGAGGAGGCGGAGGGGTGGAGGAGGAGAGGAGGAGGAGGAGGAGGAGGAGGAGGAGGAGGAGGAGAGGAGGAGCAGGAGCAGGAGGAGGAGGAGGAGTAGAGGAGGAGGAGGAGGAGGAGAGGAGAAAAAGAATAACGCGGGGACCGTCTCTTCAAAACGAGGACCCAACAACACAGGTTGGTTGGGAAAAACGGCACTGTACGCCCACGCTTGCCGCTAAGGGTCGCTTGCAGATGCCGCTGTCCCAGCCATTCGTGCCTGTACTTCGCCGAGGGCAACCTTGGCCGCGTCGCACTGCTCCTGGCTCTCCGAGAAGACCTCCGATTTCTCCCAGCATATGCAGGCCGAACGAGCTCTGGACTTTGTCCCTGTGTCCCTCTTGAGCTCCCGCAAGCGCCAACGTCGGCGAGGAGGAGGAGGAGGAATTCACAAGGAAATGGATGTGGAGAACTCCTGGCGCAGCACTCCTCTGCCGGTGTGCTCCAAGGGGGTGAGCCAATCTCAGGAGCAAACAGGAAGAGGAGGGGTCGAGTACGGGCGATGCCTATAGCTCCTGGAGGCCCATGATTCCTCTCAGAGCGACGCAACGGGTCAACGCTCCCTGACTCCGCTCTGCCAAGAAGGATGCCGGTTATCATGTTAAACATAGCGACGGCTTCTAAACTAATGAGCCCGCATGGGCTTATCGAATGAACTTACATGCGGATGACTCGCTCTTCGTCCTCAGCAACGGACACCGGCATGCCGCAGTTGCGCGAACGCGCGTCATCTTAGGACGCTTGGGACGAGCGAACCGACGAGAGGCAAGATATGAAGACGTCGCTTTAGAACTGCCTCAACAAGACATGATCTGGGAACATCGCACAGTGAGCAGAACCAACTCTCAGACATGTGTTGGTGGGCCTATGGGTGTATCGGCGCGAGAAGCGAACTCGCTGGCGCGTGGCGCGAGGCACGAGGGACACCCTGGTGCAGAGAAGTCGCCGCCGGTCCACGCCAGACGCAGTGGCGCGCGAGGCCGAAGAGAACGTACCCGTCTCCGCGGCCCCGCGGGTCGGACCCCCGAGCCGAGACCCCGCAGATGCGGGGCGCTGCTTCGCGGATGCCCCGCGCGGAACGTACCCGTACGACCGCGTATCCGATCGCGCCCTGGAATCCAGACCGCGAGGGCGCGGATACGGATACGTTCGCAGCTCGTGAGACCTGTCGCGGCCAATCCAGTGGACAGAGCCCCGATCTTTCCGACGTCGTGGCTCTTTCACAGCGCGGGTCCCTGGAGGTCTGGACCCCGGTCGCAGTCGTGGCACCCCCGGGACTGGACTTCTCACGCTGGGTCGTCTTCTGGCGGTCCAGGGGCCCAGCGAGTAGGGCCCTCGGAGGCCGAAAATGGCAAAAGACAGCCCGTCGTGTGGTTTTCCACAACGAGAAACGTGGGGGGAGTGTCCTGGATCAGAGTGCACTGTGTACGGCTGGTTCGCGTCGTGTCGACCCCGCCGTTGGTCTCTGACACCGCGGGGATCGTTCAACCTTTAACGATCGGCCATTTCCGAAACGTCCAAATCGTTCCACATCGAACGATTCTGGGTCGCCCGCGGCGTTCAAGGTTGAACGCCGCTGTCGGGGTCGCCGCCGGTCGACACGACACTAACCTACCGTAGTTGATCGGACAGGGCCTCTTCTCTTCGACGAGGGCTGCTCGCAGCATTGGGAATTCCTGGCGGGCATCGCGACAGCGCGCAGCGCTGTCGCAAAATGTGGCGACGGGGCCACCTGGAGTCCTCGAGGCCAATCAAGGGAGCAAGGGCGGGTGCAGCGGTTGGCTCTGCCGTCGGAAGGGGCAGCATGACAGTTTCGCTGTCGCTGTTGCAACTCTCTCTGCCAACACGTTTTGACAACATGGTGAGAGCAAACGGAGAGTGCACACGGAGCACACAAAGAGTGCACGGATGTAGTGTCGATTGCCAGGGTGGGCCGACACATCTGACTTGCGAACGCCCCAGGACACGCGCGCGCTACCAGCCACGCGAGGCAGGCACCGCAGTGGCCCCGCTGCTTTGCTAACCACTCGTTCTGGTCTTATGCTCTCACCCTCGCTCCCTTTTACATGTGCGCCTCATTGCCCGATCACGGTTCATCTGGATAGAAAGGGCTACTCCTACTTCGCGCTTGAGGCTTTCGAGACATCCGATGCTGTTCGAAAGCCTAGACGCCAACCCTGAGACCGCCACTTCTCTGTCAGCCGCAATGAGACCATACGTCCTTTGCAGTTGCCAGTTATCCCCATGTCGATTTCTTCTCAAAACTAATGGGGGCCTTGCTTGTGGCGGTGCCTGCGCTGCGACACATTACAGCAGACATCAAGGCGCCTCGATACCCGTCCGCACTCTTTGGGATCGCAGCAGGGCGATGTGAAAAGTCTGCCATGAGATCGCAGCCGTCGGTCGCACGCAGTGGGATATCTGCCCATCTTCCCGGGCTGGGCGAAAGGGGTGGATAGCAAAGGGGGGATTGATAATCAGTTCACGTAGCTAATTTTCCTGGCGCCTCCCGGCGCCGGGAGGCGCCCATGTATCTAAGAATGGGCCTGGCGGCGGGGCCGAAACCAGCTGCATGCAGCAGATTTCGTCAACCCCCCTTTCCCTACCCCTCCTTTTCGTTCGCCCCGATCTTCCAATTCTTCAATGCAAGTCAGCTGATGTCGAAAGGATACAGGCCTGGAATCGACTGGAAACAACTCTAGGCCTGCCGAGACAACAGACTCCTGGAAGTCCAGCGGTGACAGCAGACTCCGCACACAGGCACCGCCAGCCCGCGTCCCCAGCGGAAACCGCCCTGCAGACAACCTTCTTGACAGAGCCATGAACCGCATCGGAACCTTCGGCCGAGTGCGCGGAAGCGCTGGACAGGTGAGCATGTGGCGGGCGGGAGCCGGACGGGGAGATGGAGGCAAGCTGGGGGGAGTGGGGCACGAAGCGTGCGGAGGCAGAGGGCCACGGCACGAGCGGGAAGAGCGACGGGGAGCAGGCCACACGCAAGACCGGGACGCCCCGCCTGCTTGATCGCGTCCCTGAAGAAGGAATGCTTGCCGAAGCACTCCTCGACCCTGTGTCTGGCCGTCTTGTGGGCCTCGGCAGCGTCGCACCGGAGGGCCAGGCGACTCAGGCGACGGCAGGGGCGAGGGCGCAGGTCGCCTCCGGAGGCCCACCGGCCCTTCAGCCAGCGCCGGGTGGAGGGATGCACATGCGCAGACTGCTCTCCTCGGCGCTGGCCCCCCTCCTCCTCCTCCTCCTCCTCCTCTTCCTCCTCCTCCTCGCGCTTCGCCCAATCCGTGCGAGGGAAAGCTGGTGCATCCCTTGGACGGGGAGAGGCCGCGATGAGGAAAACGGATGCGCAGCACCCCGCAACTGCGGCTGAAAATGAGGACGCGGGCGCAGGGTGGGTCGCGGGTTGGTCGCGGGTGGGTCGCAGAGTGGGTCGCGGGGTGGGTCGACGAAGAAGATGGGTTTCGAGGGCTTGGTATGTCCGTGTTGAAGGGCATTCGAGCAGATTGGAGCGAACTGTCTGGACATGATTCTTGTGCTTGTTGTTGTCGTTGTTGTTGTTCTTGTTCTTGTTCTTGAACTCGCACTCTTGAAAAAATAATTATTGTTGATCCCCCCACCGGTGCACATTGATTTTTTTCAATTGACGTGCCCCCCCCGGGGTTCGCACCTTGTTTTCGGTCAAGGAAAATCTTCCTGCTGAAACAGGCCCCCTGGCCCCGGGTTACAACAACAACGGCTCCCGCCTGAGACTTCCTCACAATTTCGCCAGGACCCCCGCCCCCGCCCGAGACTTCCTCGCATTTTATTCAAGAATCGCGCTCTCGCTTTGGACTTCCTTACGATTTATTCAGGAATCGCTCCTCCTGCGCTCTGGAGTCGCGCTCTCGCTGGAGACTTGCTTGCAATTTACTGAATAGTAGCGCCCTTGCGTTGGAATTTCTTGCAATTTACTCCAGCGCCGCGCTCCCGACACCCAGGCACCCAGGAGTCGCGCTCACGCTTAGGACTCCTTCACAGATTACCTAGGAATCGGGATCTCGCTACCCTTCGTGGCCCCGTTGCAGCCCTTCGTGGCCCCCTCGCTTTGTTTCGTGGCCCCCTCGCTTTGTTTCGTGGCCCCGTTGCAGCCCCTCGTGGCCTCCTCGTTGCCCTTCGTGGCACCGTTGCAGCCCTTCGTGGCCCCCTCGCTTTGTTTCGTGGCCCCGTTGCAACCCTTCGTGGCCCCCTCGCTGCCCTTCGTGGCCCCGTTGCAGCCCTTCGTGGCTCCGTTGCAGCCCTTCGTGGCCCCCTCGCTGCCCTTCGTGGCCCCGTTGCAGCCTTTCGTGGCCCCCTCGCTTTGTTTCTTGGCCCCATATATGTATGCCCTTCGTGGCCCCCGCTCGTTCGCGCCCGTGGTGGCCCCATATGCATGCCCTTCGTGGCCCCGCTGTCGCCCTTCGTGGCCCCGTCGCTGCCCTTCGTGTCCCCGTTGCTGCCCTCAGTGGCCCCGTCCGTGCCCTCCGCGGCCCAACATACGTATGCCCTTCGTGGCCCCCGCTCGTTCGCGCCCGTTGTGGCCCCATGTGCATGCCCTTCGTGGCCCCGCTGTCGCCGTTTGTGGCCCCCTCATTGTCCTACGTGGCCCAGGTGCTACCCTCAGTGGCCCCATCGTTGCCTTCTGTGGCCCCGCATTATCTGCCCTTCGTGGCCCACGCTCGTTCGCGCTCTTCGTGGCCCCATACGCATTCCCTTCGTGTCCCCGCTGTCGCCCTTCGTGGCCTACTTCGTGTCCTTCGTGGCTCTGCTGTCGTTCTCTCTCGCTCTCGCTTTCGCTCGTCGTCGTCGTCGCGTCGACCGTCGTCGTCGACGTCGTCGTCGTCGTCGTCGTCGTGGTCGGTCCCCTGTCCGTCCCTCTTGGGGTCGGGTCGACGGTCCGCGGCCGCCCCGCCGATCAGCGCTGCCGCTGGCCAGGCCGACGGTCCGCGGCCACCCCGCCGCTTGCCGGGGCCCCGCCTGCAGGGAAGAAAAGTATACCCCCCAAAAGGGGTTCGATCGAAGACGAAAAGTGCGGGTATCGAAGGTTTGGGAAATTCGCGTTATTCGACACTCGAGCACATAAGGGCGAACAGTCTTAAACTGATTGTTGTTGTTGTTGTTGCTGTTGTTGTTGTTGGTGTCACTCACTAAACAATTATTGCTGTTGGACCCCCTAAAGGCGCCCTGGCGCTCTCGCCGAGGCACCGGCTACATTTTCATTGACAATGAGGCTCACGCTCGAGCTGTTTGGGGGACCGCCCAAACCGGCCCCCCAACAACAACAACGCTCCCGCTCGAGACTTCCTCCTTTTTTACTCAGGGCTGGTGTTCTTGCTCGCCGCCGAAAGCCGCCGTCCTAACAAAACCAGCGCTCCCGCTCGAGACTTCCTCCCGTTTTACCTTGGACTGGCGCGCTAGTCTTTCTCTCATCGGCGCCGCCCCCAGCCAAAACAATGCTCCCGTTCGAGGCTTCCTGCCTTTTTTACTCAAGGCCGTGCTCCTCGCCGCCGAAACCGCCGCCTCGACAAAACCAGCGCTCCCGCCCGAGACTTCCTTCCGTTTTACGCTGGAATGGCGCCCAACTCTCTTTTGAATTGGCGCCGCTCCCAGGAAGAACAACGCTCCCGCTCGAGGCTTCCTCTCTTTTTCCTGAAAGCGGTGCTGTTCCTCGCCGCCGACATACCCCTCTTCCCGACAAAACCACGGCTCCCGCTCGATGATTACCCCCTTCTTACTCAAGGCGGTGTTCCTCCTCGCCGCCGAAAACAGCCGCCCCGACAAGCTCCCGCCCGAGACTTCCTTCCGTTTTACGCTGGACTGGCGCCCTACTCTCTTTTGAATTGGCGCCGCTCCCAGCAAGAACAACGCTCCCACTCGAGATTTCCTCTCTCTTCCTCGGGACGATGCTGTTCCTCGCCGCCGACAGCCCCCGTCCCGACAAAACCACGGCTCCCGCTCGATGCTTCCTCCTTTCTTACTCAAGGCGGTGTTCTTCCTCGCCGCCGAAAGCCGCCGTCACAACAAAACCAACGTTCCCGCTCGAGACTTCGTTTTGTTTTACGCTGAACTAGCGCCCTACTCTCTTCAGCATTGGCGCCGCTCCCAGCAACAACAGCAGCCCTGCTCGAGACGTCCTCCCTTTCTATTCAGGGCCAAGTCCTTGCCTCACCGCCGACAGCCCCCATCCCCATCAAGGCAATCCTGTCGTTCGATACTTCCTTGTGCTTTACCCTTCGCCGGGGTTCCACTGGCGGTCTCGCATCGGAGCAGCAAGGCGCGGGCATGTGTTTTCGAGGCCGGATGTATCGAAATTCCTCGGAGGAGGTGTTTGCAAAATCTCATTGGGCGGGAGATCTGAGAATGGGAATAACGGACCACTATAGAACAAGAGTCCCTCATGATGTGGATGGCGGTCATGATGGTCGCATGTTTCGTGTGGAAACGTAGCGCATGAGGGTAAAATGATTGTTGTTGCTGTTGCTGTTGTTGTTGTTGTTGCTGCTGTTGCAACTGTTGTGTTTGTCGTTGTTGATGTCGTTATCGTTGTCGTTGTCGATGTCGTCATATTGGTTGTTGTTGCTGCTGTTGTTGTTTTGTTGTTCAATTCTCACTTGTAAACAATAGTTTTTGTTGATCGCCCCCTCCGGTGCACATGGTGCTTTTCAAAGAAAATGCGTTTCCAGGGGCTCGTACCCTGTTTTCTATCCGGGAAATCTTGGTTCTCAGAATTGAATTGTTGGCCCCGGCTTGCAGAAACAGAGGATCCCGCCTGATACTTGCCCACAGTGTATTGAAGAATCGCGCTCTCGCGTGTGACTTCCTCGCAGTTTATTCAAACGCCGCGCCCTCGACACTCAGGAGTCACGCTCTCGTTTCGGCCAATCTCGCGATTTACATGGGAATCGCGCTGCCGCTCGAGACTTCCTCGCGATTCATGCAGGACGCACGCTTCAGCAACCCGCCTGCTCGACTTGGCCGCCTGGGCCCGCCTTCCAGACCCACCCGTTAGGGTCTACCCGCCCGATCGGCCCGTCTGGTTCTGCCAAGTGCTTTCTGGTCATAGCCCTCCTCCTGCTATTCTGTCTCTCTCTCTCTCTCGTGTTCTCTCCTCCTCCTCCTCCTTCCCCCTTGTTCGTTTCTTCCATCCGTCCTCTCTTCTCCTGCCGGAGGGGCTGCGTGAAATACACGTTGCGGGTAAGAAAAGGGGGCACGATCGAAGGCGAAGAGGGCGGGTACCGAGGGCTTGAGATATACGTGTTGTCTGGCACGCGAGCAGATCAGAGCGAACAGTCTTACACTGATTGGTGTTGTTGTTGTCGTCGTTGTTGTCGTCCCCCGGGGGTAGACATCTTTCTTACCTGCAGCGTGTAGTTCGTGCAGCCTCTCAGGCAGGGGAAGAGAGGACGGATAGAAAGGAAAGAACAAGGTGGAAGGAGGAGGAATGAACACGAGAGAAAGTAACAGGAGGGGGCTAGGAGCCGAAAGCACTTGGCAGAACCAGACGGGCAGATCGGGCGGGTAGACCCCAACGGGCGGGCCTGGAAGGCGGGCCCAGGAGGCCGGGTCCAGCAGGTGGGTTGCTGAAGCGTGCGTCCTGCAGGAATCGTGAGGACGTCTCGAGCGATAGCGCGATTCCCAAATAAATCGCAAGGACATCCACAGCAAGAGCGCGATTCCTGAATGTCGAGGGCGCGGAGTTTGAATAAATTGCGAGGAAATATCACGCGAAAGCGAAATTTCGGTATTCATTGTGAGAAGGTCCCGCGCGAGAGCGCAATTTGGGAATCAATTGTGCGGAAGTATCAGGTGGGAACCGTTGTTGCTGTTGCTGCTGCTGTGGTTGTTGAACCTTGATTGCTCAACAATTATTTTTGTTGGACCCCTGAGATCTGCCCTGGCGCTCTCGCCTAGGCTCCGGCCGCATTTCCTATGAAGTCGAAGCTCACGCACAAGCGTTGCTGAGGTTCGCAAAACTAGCCCCCCAACAACGACAACGCTCTGGCTCGTACCGCCTCCTTTGTTTTTCTCTTGCTCCGGCCCGGTGCCCTTGCTCGCCGCCGAAAATCGGGGATGGACAGACCCCCCTTTAGTAAAGCGTGGTTTAGTGAAAACGACCTGGGGCCCAAACCTGGCGGGCGCAAGCATGGAAAATGACGGCCACGGCGCCCTCTCGAGAGCCGAAAACGGACAATTCACTAATTGACGTGTCACTGTTAGGGGCTCTATCCACCTCCGAAAAAAAAAAGGCTTTCCCACCAGACCAGCGCTCCGGCTCGATAGCTCCTCGCCTTCTGCGCAGGAGCGGCACCCTCGCCTCGGCGCCGAACGCCGGCTTTCCAAACCAAACCCGGGCTCCGGCTCGATACTTCCTCACCTTTTGCGCTGGATCGGCGCTCTTGCCCTGGCGCCGCAAAAGGGCCTACCATTGACTTGCCATCGCTCGGACGTCCATTTCCCGTGCATTTTTCGGTTTCGTGCGTGTTTTTGTTTGCTCGATGGTCCGAGCGATGGTCGTCGATGGTTCTCGCCGAGAAAAAATATGCACACGTCCAAGCGATGCCAAGTGGAAACAACGGCGCTCCCGCTCGGTACTTCTCAGCGTTTTGATCAAGACTGCGGCCCTGGTGCCAGAATCGCCTCTGGGGGGCTTCCAGGGTCACTGGCGGAGCTCACTTACGAAACAAGCATTGCTGTGGGGCCCCCTGAGTGCGCCCTGGGGCTCTCGCCTGGGCGCCGGCTGCATTTCCTGCGAAGTCGAAACTCACGCTCAGGCGTTTCGGGCTCCCGCCTTACCGGACCTCCGAACAACAACAACAGCAGCAGCAACAGCAACAGCAACAGCAACAACAACACCAACAACAACAATCGCAACACTCATTTTAAGACTGTTCGCTCTTGCTTGCACGCGTGTTTTGCATTCTGTATACCCCAGCCCTCGATACCCCTCCTTTTTTGCTCAGGCCCGCCTCGGGGGGCCTTAGGAAGGTTCCGAAAAAGCGCCATGAACTGCGGCCCTTCCCGACAGGATGCGCGGTCCTCTTGGCCTCTCCTCCTCTTCCTCATCCTCTCTCCTCTTATCTCGTCCTCCTCTCCTCCTTCTTCTCGGGAGACTCGTCCTCCCTGTATGTTTCCTTCTCTTTGGTCTTTCTGTGCAGCTTCGGGCCTTGCGTGGACCATGGAGGTCGTGGAGGGATGATCAAGGAGGGTTCATCGCCAGCCTGATGCTGACTGGGCGTGGGGACCGCCGCTATGACAATCTGCGTGGGTTTCGCTTCCCTGCGCGGCTGCTCGTGCAAGGACGCGTGGACATCGTGTAGGCCGTGGGAGCGACGACGACGACGACCACGACCACGACGACGACGACGACGGCGGCGGCGGCGACGTCGACGACGACGACGATGACCACGACCACGACCACGATGACGACAACGACGACGGCAACGGTGGCGGCGGCGACGACGACGACGACGACGACGACGACTGCGAAGCGGCCTCTTTGAGTTTTTCTTGCGCCCGTGGGTTTGTCCGAGGGGCCGGGGAAGGAGAAGTGTCTACTGGGTATGTCGGGCCCCCATGCGCCAAAGAAATGATCCCCCAGGATGGGGATAGTTATTATGATGTAGCACGTGGCATGTGGAAACATGGCGAATGAGGGTACATGTATTGTTGTTGTTGTTGTTGTTGTTGTTGTTGTTGTTGTTGTTGTTGTTGTTGTTGTTGATTGTGCAACGGGGAACTACAACACAATTTGGCAACAAAAAACGAACCCTGGAATAATCACTTCAATTGAAAGATACAATGGTGACAGGAGGGGACAGCAGCAGCAAAAACAAACAACAACAACAACTTGCAGAATTTTCGCTCGTACCTGCTCGCGTGCCACTCACCATGTGTATCCCGAACCTTCGACACGCAACCTCTGCGTCCTCGATCGTGCCCCTGTCCGGGGCATCTCTCCTCTACCTGCCGCGTGCAGCTGGCGCCGGCCCCAAAAAGAGGGGACGGGAGGGAGGAAGGAAGGGACACGGGGGGAGGGAGAAGGGTGGAGCACGAGAGAGGTTAGCAGGAGGGGGGGTTCGGAGCAGGAAAGCACGCGGCAGAACCAGACGAGCGGGTCGGGCGGGCGGACCCTCACGGGCGGGTCGCTGGAGCAGCAGTCCTGTATCGATCCCGAGAAGTCTCGAGCGATGGTGTGATTCCCGAGTCATTTTGTGAGGAAAACCATCGCGATGGCGTGATTCCTCGGCACTAGTTGCGAGGGGGTCCCACGCAAGGTCTCGATTCCTGCACGACTTGTGAGGGCGCCCCGCGCGAGAACACGACTCCGTTGTGGTAACCAACTTGCGGCCAACGACACAATCTGAGGGAAAAACAAATTTCTTGTACGAGCCAGAGTGGGAGCTCCGGGAGGGGCACTTCACTTGAGAAACACAATGGGCACAAGAGGGGGGATCAACAACATTTGTGTATTAGAGATGAAATGTCAAACAACATCCAGGCCACGGCATACCACTTCACCCGCGCACCTAAGGATGGTGTGGGACCGTTCTGACCCTTCGCTCCGCTATGAATAGAGAACGATAGAGAGAGAGAGAAACCTGCAACAAACTCGGAGGAAGTGCAGATGGGCATCGCAGGCATGGCCAGGACGGACGAAAGCGCGGCTTGCATAGCGCCCGCCTGAAGATGGCAGAGAACACATCGTACTTTATCCTCTTCAATGCGATCCTCCACAAGGGGAGCTGGGCGAGAGCACGGGCGGAAGAGCAACACCATCAAGAGAGAGCACGAATAATACGCTGCCCTCTCGCGCACCCCCAGGGTCAGCTTTTGCATCTGTGGTCTCAATTGTCTTGCATGTGGACATGGTTAAGCTTGTCGTACATGCGTCACGGGCCAAGGTTCGGGGTGGGGGGCCCCAGACAGTGCGGTGACCACACCAAATGGTGAGGCACTGAGTATTCATGGTGACCGCATGGGTCGCTCTCTGAGGCTGTCTCAAGCAACTGGGGCCTCCAAAGTCCCAAACATGTTCGGTGACGGGCCGTGCGGTCAGGTCGTTGAGGATTCCGAGGTCGCCGAGCTGAGGAAACCAAAAGGCACCGATACCGTTACTCCCCGGACCTCTCAAGAATCTCGAGGCGAATCCAGGAGGCACAGAGAGGGGGCAGGAGATAGGGGCAGCAATATGGGTGCCTCTTCCTCCTCCGAGTCACCGCGCGGTCTGTGACCACATCGCCGTGTGTGTGTGGGGGGCAGAAGCACCAGGCAAGCCAAGATACACGCGCACGGTTTCCCCCCGGGCCGTAGGCGACCCGAGCAGGAGGCGGAGGAGGAGGAGGAAAAGGACGAGGTGGAGGAGGAGGAGGAGGAGGAGGAAGGAGGAGGAGGAAGAGGAGGAGAGGAGGAAGAGGAGGAGGAGGAGGAGGGGGAGGAGGAGGAGGAGGAGGAGGAGGAGGAGGAGGAGGAGGAGGAGAGGTGCGCAGACGAGCGGGGTCCAGGTGGCGTGTAGAGAGGGAGAGGAAGACAGATCCAGAATATACAGCATCGGGTGAGGAGAAACGGGGAATCTCCGAGATCTGGCCGCTCTGGAGGATGTCTCGGGCGCCGCGGCCTTCTCAGAGCGTTCCGGAACGCTCTGGAACGGATTTGTCATCGCCCACGCCACGTCCGAAAAAAGGGACCATGATACTTGGAGAGAGTCCATGGCCCCAGCCAAGATGTCCTTCCCCCGATAATCCGCCCCCCGCCCTCCAGACAACGTCAACCTCCAGAAATCGAAGCCCCTTCCTCGGGACCGGACTTGTCACCCTAACAGTTGCTTGTCAGTCCAGGGGCCCGGCGAGGGCCCCAGGAGGCAGAAAACAGAAATTCCCCCCCCCCCCCCTCCACTGGGGACACCACAAGGTACCGACACCGCTACTCTCCGGACCTCTCCCTGGGTGCGCTCTAACCATGTCGAGGCGAATCCAGCGGTGGCGACGAAGGCCTCCCAGGAGGCCCAGAAAAGGGACAACGAGATAACAGCGGTATGGATGCCTCTTCCTCCTCCGACCATCCCCCCCACTGCGCAAATCCCGTCGTGACGCTTCTCGCGACGAGAAGAGGAGGAGGAGGAGGAGGAGGAGGAGGAGGA